ACACCCGGGGACAGGTACACACACCCGGGGACAGGTACACACACATACACACGGGGACAGGTAGACACACATCCCGGGGACAGGTACACACACATACACACGGGGACAGGTAGACACACATCCCGGGGACAGGTACACACATATACCCGGGGACAGGTAAACACACATACACACGGGGACAGGTACACACACCCCGGGACAGGTACACACACATACACACGGGGACAGGTACACACATATACCCGGGGACAGGTACACACACATACACACGGGGACAGGTACACACACACCCCGGGACAGGAACATACACACACCCGGGGACAGGTACACACACACATCCCGGGACAGGTACATACACATGGGGACAGGTACACACACACACACACACACACACGGGGACAGGTACACACACACCCCGGGGACAGGTACACACACCCCTGGGGACAGGTACACACACACACACCGGGACAGGTACACACACACACACGAGGACAGGTACACACACACCCAGGGACAGGTACACACACACCCGGGGACAGGTGTACACACACACACACACACCGGGACAGGTACACACACACCCGGGGACAGGAACTCACACACACCCCGGGCAGGTACACACACAGCCGGGGACAGGAACACACACACCCCCTGGGACAGGTACACACACACATACACACGGGGACAGGTACACACATCCTCGGTGACAGATACAGAGCCCGCGGGACAGGCTGATAAAACTGGGTTTGTCCAGCCTTGAGAAGGGTCAGAGGAGACCTCATCACCGTGTTCCAGTTCTTAACGGGGGGCTACAGAGAAGATGGAGATTTCCTTTCTACAAGGAGTCACGTGGAAAAGACAAGGGGGAACGGGTACAAGTTACTCCTGGGGAGATTCTGACTGGACACGAGGAAAATTTTTCATAATGAGAATAATCAGCCACTGGACACAGTCGCCCTGGACCAGGTACACAACATCCTCTGAACCCCACCAGTGTGGTCCCCATCACCAGCGTGCAGCCACCCCCAGCGCTGTGCCCCCCTACCGCAGCTGGCACAAAATGTGTTCCTCTGCCCGAGGTCACGCTGGATCACCTGCACGGCTCTAGGTGCAAGGGCACGGTGGCACAGTCTTGCTCTGACACCTGCCAGGATGAGCGAGCCTAATTTAATTTGCAAAGAGTTTTTTTTCCAAGCTCATAGCTATGTGCATTACCCGGCATATTGTATTTTCCTAGCCAGGTCAAGTCCTGAGAAAATCCAGCACTCTGCTCCAGTGGAGATTTTAAATGACAGGGCTGCATTCAGTTAAATCTGATGATTTTTACTTGCAGGGCTTTAGTGAAGCAGCAGTATAAATCTTCCATGTGGAAGGCAGAAAAATTAGTGAAATGACTAGTGGAAGTACTGATAACTGCTCCTGAAAGAACAATCCTGTCTTTTGTGGCGGGAAAAGGTGTTTGGTTGATTTTCCTTTAGAAAAATTTTACACTGATGCAAAACAACCTCAAGCCTTTGAGCTCCAGATTTATTTTCAATTATTTTAGATTTCCAAAGATGAATAAAAATGCATATCTGATTTTTATGGAAATGAAGTGAGCTTTCTTAGTCTACGTCGATTCATTAGAAATGCAGCAGTTTTGTGTTGGAAGGAAAGAACAGGAAGCAAAACTGCAGAAGAAAAAGGAAACAGACTCCTAAGACTGTACTTAGTGGTAAAAACCGGAAAAATCAGCCACATGCACCTCACTGTGGTTTGAATGAAAAGCAAATATTGTAAGGAAAAGAAGAGGAGAAAGTACTTATTTCATGAGAGGGGAAAAAAGGCTCAAAATCCTCTACAAAAAGAAAACGCTGATTTTCTTCATCTCTCACCTGCATCTGAGCAGGTCTCAGCAGGGTCCCAGCGGCAGGCAGGGCCTCACAGTCCCAGGGGCAGCCTTGGCTCTGGTGCCCGCACATCTGGACTGGGTCTCCTTGCAAAACCTGCTCAGCTGGAGCCTCCCGGAGTCTCTTACTTGGGGAGCTGCTCTGCGTGCAACTGAAGCAAAGAACCCTGGTAGGCAGAGTGCCATGGGAAATCTGTGTCCCTTCATGTCAGAACGAGTATGTCTACATAGAAGGTGGATTTAAACTACTTAGCTCCAATACAAGTGACATGGATTAGCTACCCAAGCTTTTACCCTCAGGTCCTGTCAAGCCCTGTCAAGCTTTGCAGCCTGCTCCTGTATCTTTATTGATGGGGAAATGTAAAGAACACATATATATCCCCTGTGTGCTCCACTAGATAGTTTTGCATCCACCTTGAGGTCATTTCATACTGCAAATGGGCCTAAAAAAATAGGAAATCACTCACTGTCGCTGGATGTGCAGCCAGTTTGGGACCATTTCTTAGCTGAGCAACATGAAACAACTCTAAATAGAGCAGCAACTAGTTTGTCCTCAAGTTAGTATCTGCTTCAGCATTATAGCGGCAATATTTCATAGCCTGTCTAAAGGAGGTTGTTAATGAGTCTGGGTGGTATTATATGCAGAGTGGCTAAATATCAAAAAAAAAAAAAAAAAAAAAGCTGAAAGCCCTGGCTTCTCTTCTGTAAGGCTGAATTCATTCAATTAAACAGCTTTGAGAGCTCAGCTACGGTTTAGCGGGAGACTTTATTACCTCCTAAAAATTGGAGAGTATTAAAACAATTGTCAGGCATGCAAAGGAAAGTTTGCATTCAGTTGTGCTAAGCAGCTGAATTTACATATTCTCAACCAGATCGGGAGATTTAGAAAGCCTTCATAATTGCATTAAACATGCTTATTCTCTGTGTTCTCTCAAGCAGAGCTGATTACCCCAAGTTGGGCAATGCCTGGAGGGAAATTTGCTAAGCCACGATGTCAACAACTCGCAAAAGAAACTTAATTTTTCCAGGGAAATAGTGGTTTGGTTATTCCTGCAAAACATGTCTCTTTCCCAGCGGCTGTATGAGCCAATGCTTGTCTTCCGCTTGTGCTCTTTTGGGATGACGATGCTCAGCCCGCGCAGGGTGGCTCCCACGCCCCACCAGCCATCCACCTCAGCTCACTGGCAAGGTCTAGTGTCCAGGCAGTGGTGGCATTAGACCCACAGAATAACCCCAACCCCAGGA